TTCTCCCCTCCATAGCTCCCCTCTTGCCCTGTCTTTCTGTAGTTCTGAAGGGGGGTAAAGACGGCGAGAGTTCCGCTGTAAGGTCAGCAGCTGCCCTCTACAAGCTTGCCTTTGGGGCAATGTCATTAGAGGACAAGAACTGAGACCTTTTCCACTGTGAGGATTGCATCTCCACATTTTGATTCCCTACCACATTCTGCTTGGTCTGGTTTATTCTCAGTCTTTTCAGGTAGTTGGGGTATTCTTGGTTGTGCTCCGAGGGAAGGATCAGTTGTAGGGGGTTAACACCACCGGAGCAGAACCAGTACTCCTCAGAACATTTATTTCTATTTTTTGAAGATTTTATTTATTTATTTGAGAGAGAGAGAGAGAGAGTACAAGCAGGGGGAGCGGCAGAGGGAGAGGGAGAAGCAAGCTCTCTGCTGAGCAGGGACTCCAATGTGGGGCTCAACCCCAGGACCCCAGGATCGTGATCTGAGCCAAAGGCAGACACTTAACCGATTGAGCCACCCAGGCGCCCCTATTTTTGTTTTATAAAGCACATTTTTGGTGGATGAAATAAAAGCATGATGCAAAGAGCTAGAATTTGATAATAAAACATGGCTACCTGAAGCTTTAAGCACATTTGTTCAGCCTTAAAGCAGTTTTTGGTTAAAGATTTGAGGCCTTTTTGGCCATCTAGAAATAGGTTTCAGGTGGTCTTTTGGTTGCACTTGATACTTCTCAGTTCTGCTCCTGGACTATGTCTAATGAATTGGATTATTACAATTTTCCAGACCTGTATCAATTCATTTGTATGGAATATAAGCAATAAGAATAGTGTTCTTAAGGGCTCTTAACAAAGATATGAGAGACATTTAAAGTTGTGCTTAAAGACCTGATAATTTTTTAGCAACAATGTGTGAAGCATCCCAATAGAAATCTCTTATTGACTCCAGTGGCCTTAGAAAATCTGATTCTGGGGGCGGCTGCATGGCTCAGTCGTAAGTGTAATCATCTGACTTCACATGATCTCAGGGTCCTGGGATGGAGCCTTGCTTGAGTCCTGCTCCACGCTCAGTGCAGAATCTGCCTGTCCCTCTCCCTCTGTACCCCCTCCCCCACTTGTGAGCTCTCTCTCAAATAAATAAATAAAATCTAAAAAAAAATAAATAAAAACCCTGATTCTGCTTTCTATTTTCATAATTGTCAATTTGCCTAACACTGAATAAAGTTTAAATACCAAGTAATGAAAGGTGAGAACTGGCCCAATCCTTTTTTTTTTTTTTTAATTAATTTATTTTTTAGTAGTCTCTACACTCAACATAGAGCTTGAACTCATGACCCCAAGATCAAGAGTTGTTTGCTCTTCTGACTGAGCCAGCCAGGCGCCCCTCAATCAATTCTTTTTAAAATGTTTTTCATCCAACAAAATGGCATCAGTATTTAGCAGTATAGTGGATATTTAATAAACAGTCATTATGAAGCAACTCCAAGAATAATGGAATGATTCTGAGTGCCTCTGGTGGTCACAGGAAATTTTACAGTGATGTGTGGGGTTTAGGGCACAGATTTCCTTGGAGTAGAACTGAATAGTTCCAGCAAAGAGCTAGCAACATGACTCCAAAAGGTCTTTGAGCGGCCTTTATTCTGTTGCTCAGGCTTCAGCTTAGGGCCTCCTGAGTTAATTGCAGCCTCCAGCCTTTCTTGCAGGGCCAGCTGCTTTTTATGGTCAGAGGAGATAAACAGAGGCTCAATAGGGGATCTATTTCTGGCCCTTGAAAGGGCCTCTGTGCCGCTGGGTCAGGGGGAAATCGTCCAACCTCCTCCGTGGAATGCCTGGATGATTTCTCGGGGCTGTCCTCCGCACACTGGCACTTCCCGTACCCAGTTTAACTAGTAGATCAGCTAAGCGAGGCTAGCCATCATGTCTAACTTGGCAAACCAACATTCCAGTTTGGCAAGCCAATATGTGTGAAGTTGATGTTGAATTACTGGCCAGGATAAGCAGCATATTGATTTAGGGTCACAATTACAATTCAGTGATTGTTAATAACATTCTCTGGGTCAAGAGTGATTTGCTTGAGGGACGGGAGAAGGGAGTTTCCATTTATTGAATACTACCTTGGGCCTCCTGTAAGAACAGTATCCACAGTATATTTATTTCCATTGTGCGTTGTTAAAACGAAGTTTAACTTTATAAAATTGTGAGGGAGGTTTTTAACTGCTATAGTTTGATTTTATTACCTATTACTGTTCATATGTTACTATGTTAGAGATCTGGTTCCCCATATTCAAGGAAGGGAACTTGGCTACAGAGAGTTTGAACCCTTAGTCCAAGGCCACAGCACCCACAAACAGGTAGTAGAATGCAGGCCTCTTTACATTACCCAGACCATCATCTTTATGTGACGTGAGTTTCTTGGTTAGAAAAGCAAGTCAAGAACAAAACCACTGGTTGCAGAAGAAGCATTAAGGAAAAATATCTTCTGGGGACGCCGGGGTGGCTCAGTCGTTAAGCGTCTGCCTTCGGCTGAGGTCATGATCTCAGAGTCCTGGGATGGAGTCCCAAGTCAGGCTCCCTGCTAAGTGGGAAGTCTGCTTTTCCCTCTCTCTCTGCTCCTCCACCTGCTCTCTCTCTCTCTCTCTTGCTCGCTCTCTCTCTCAAATAAGTACATAAAATATTTAAAAGAAAAAATATTTCTCTTTTACAATGATTTTTATTTCTGCAAAGAAACAGCCTTAGGCCCATAAATAGTACATCTTTTAGATATTTTTCACTATTATCAATTGATTACATAAAAATGCATACTGTAAAAGGAGACAGAAAAATTTGAACCCAGCTCTAGCAACAAGTGTGCCGCTCCAATGATCTCTTTAAAGAGATGGGGTCTATCGGGACTGCCATTGACTTAGACTCGCTTAGATGCATCCGCATCACGGCCTCCACAAGTAGAAGGGCGCCGCACAGGCAGCCTCAGGCTCTGAGAGGTTCGGCGACTCTCCAGTTTTCATGTAAACCGTTGCTGCTGTCTACCGCAGCAAACAATTACACATTTTCTAGAAGGAAAACAGTGCTTGCGTCAAATGGGTTGTTCATCTTAGAGAATTCCCTGCATCCTAGAACTAGGTTTTTCTGGGGAACAGAGGAGGTGGAGTGGGTTTTCCAAACGGAAGCCTGGAGTACGCGGTAGATCGTGCTGTGGCTGTGCTTAGCCCTGTCTTAGGGCTGACCAGAAACTGTCTCAGGTTTCCAGAGAATTCCAAATAGGAAAGGGGAAAGTGCTTTTTCACTCCTTCAAAATTATTTGTTGAGCCATCGATCTCTATGTATCAGACAGTGTTCTAGTTACTGAGCCACCACACACCAGGCATTTTAACCCTGCATCAACCCTTCCAGGTAAGCGTATTCTAATTTTACAGATGAGGGATTTGAGGTGCAAAGATGTTAAGTAACTTCTCCTAGTTGCCGGAGCTAAAACGCAGAGCCTAAATTTGTAATTCGTCTGTCCGTCTATGTTCTATTATGCCTGACGTGCATATAGATGCTATACATATATATATACATATATAGCCTATAAATAAAATATTTGAGACATATCTATACTAAAAGTAGTGGTAGTTTATCTAAAACTGAAATTTAATTGAGTGTCTTGCATTCAGTGTGGTAACTGCTGGGGGGTAGCCTCCTCATGGCCAGCAAGGAGGCGACAAGCTGTCATCATGGTGCTCGAATTTTATTTCATGTTGGATTAGGACCCACCCATATGATTTCATTTTACCTTAATTACCTCCTTAAAGGCCCTATCTCCAAAGATGGTCTCATTCTAAGGGGCCGGGGTTAGGATTTCGACGTGTGAATTCTGAGGGACACGGTTCAACCCATAGAAAGATCATACTAGACCAGAGTGGGCCCTAAATCCAATAACTGAAGTGAAGTGAAGACACCACAAGTAAAGAAATGCCAAGGATTGCTGGCAACCACCAGACACTAGGGAGAGGCATGGAATAGTCTCCCTCGGGGCCTCCGAAAGGGACCAACTTAATGTTGAACTTCGATCTCCAGAAATGTGAGAGAATACATTTCTGTTGTTTTATGGCATCCAGTTTGTGGTACTTTGTTATATTAGCCCTGGGAAACAAGTACAAAGTGCCTTGTTTGGGAGTGATTTGCAAGGAATGCTCAACAGAGGAGGCCATGGTGATGTGTCCCATGTGGTATGGCCAGGATGATATTCTGCAGAAGATACTGGGCCTGAGGGCCATGGAGGAGGAGGAGTTCGATGGAGCAGGAGAAGGTAGGGAACCAGCCTGTGCAAAGGCACGGGGGCTTGACATGTTCGGTCCGGGTTGGAGAAATGCTAGAACTGAATAATTTGAAGCAACTTTAAAAATACGTTGCACAGATCCAAATTTATCTGCTGAAAGAGATCTTAGAGATTGCCACCTCACTGGTCATTTTAGACTGACCTCTGGATAGTTATGTGGCTAACCTAATGTCACCAACCAAATTAGTCAAAGAATTCAAGGTAGGAATCCATTGTTGAAACCCCTGCCTGGCACTGTCTCCCCCAGACCAGTGCTGGAGCCTGGCCTTTTCCTAAATGCACGTGCAGTATATTTTTATAATACAGCAGGGGCTCAATACATGTTTACTGAAAAAATAATTAAGTGAATAAAGAGTACTGAATGGGTTTTCCAACGAATGAAAAAGTCAGAAAGTAACTGGCATTATCCCATGTGCTTGCAGATACACTGTTTGCATCAGAATGTGCATACTGATCCTCCGTATTCTGTGAGGCTTCCCCAAAACATGCCACAGCAACACAACACAATCCACTTTCCAGAAAGCATACCCCGGATTTCTGTTCATTCCTGTTTCTCTAGTCTTAGAATCTAGTGCAGAAATGACTTCAATAGATCTTTCCAAATTTACTTACGTTCATGTAATTGTGCCATTGTCAAATTTTACCTTTTCATTTCTTTAAATTCCAAATGTACTGGAAAAAAAGACAAGAGTCTTCTCTTTTAAAAACTTTTATTAGGCATTGCTAGATGACGTTGCATGATGTATCACACGCATCATGCGAGTAAACAGCACTCCACAGGAATCCGTACAATAGCTCATACAGTGACAATAAAAATAGTTGATTCCCATTACAGTTTTCATCCGAGTAGAGTGACATTATATCCTTCCATGAGATCTGATCTCACAGTTAAGATTACCCTTCCATTCTAAAACAACCAACCAAAAACATTAAAAAAAAAAAAAAGAAAAAGCCCAACCACAACAAAAGGCCATAGGGACATACCGAAAGTCCAGAATTAGACTCCAGAATATCGTAAGGTATCCACCTTTTGAAAGATTTGCCCCTAAAATTTGTGTGATCTGACACTTGGGTTGTTTTTACTGCCAGCAGCAAGGGAGATTGTATTTGCTAACAACGAGCAGTACACCAACACATATCCACGGACAATTCTTGAGGTAATAGATTTTTAAATTTCACTGCTTAAAAAAAAATCTGTTAATTTCCAGGTCCCGTCCAGCAGGACATATCTGTTGGCAGGAAGATTCTTTTCCTCTTTTTTTCTTTGTCAAATATGTACACATATTTTCATATACAACCTGTGTCTTTGTCTTTTCTAAGCACACGATTTATTTTAATTATTCATCATACATTCATCAGGAAAAGTTGAATTACATACTATGGTACATAAACAATACAACAAACCCAACTTTTTATATAAAGCTAACACAAAAGGCAAAGACCAAGAAGAGCAAAATAACATTGTACAAGATATCTTGGTATCGATAAAGCCCACTGTGAATAAATAATTACATGTAAATAGCAAACACCATGGTTCTTCAGCATCTGTGTGGAGGTGGGTTACAAATAACATATTGCTAAAGACGAGTTGTAGGAAACAGATCAAATTCTTGAAGGTCCATATATTTACCGTTATTTTTAATGCTTTTTGTAAAGTAATTTTGTCCTCATTGGAGCTAAAAAGACTGACAGCCATTCCAACTTCCATTTCAAATTTTGAAGATCAGCACTCTTTTTTGCAGCTTAAAAGTACATTTCAATAACAATGGCTTCACATTATGGTGTTTAATATCCTTTTTTTTATTCTTTAGCTTAAAAATAAACACCGAATTTAAGAAAAAAATATTGGCTAACCTGCTGTTCCAGGGATAATACAGTGGGTTAAATGCAGCCTATATATACCTCTAAAGATACACTGTCTCATCAGCACTTTAAATATAGGGGCCAAGGAACACTCACAAAAAATATATGGCTCTTTAGGTAAGAAATAAAGTCAAGTGAAAAAAAAAATAAGGCACTAATAACATATATAAATGTTATATACTCTCATCACACAAAGCACCATATGGAAGGTTAAAGAAGTATACATTAGTGCTATTGGAAAATAGGAATAAACCCAGTTTCCCCTGACTTTTATTCCTCAATTCCTTCCTTTCTTTTCAGTAATTAATGTATTTAAACACTAAAATGGTAGGGGAAATTATAAATTATACTAAAAGCACAATTCATGGAACCAACAGCATGAAATAATCATTTGGAAATAAGTTGATTACTCTAACAATGTAAGAAGTTAAAGTCTTTGAATACTCCCTATTTTCCAACATTTTCAACCCAATGGAATTTGTTTCTTCCTTTCCAATTTTCTTTCAGAGATTTCTACATAATATTATCATCTATTTTCTCATTTTATTTCTACTGCCTCTTTTTAAAAAATATAGTCAAAATAGTTCCCTCTACATAGTTTTATGAATACCAAAGTTAATAGTATGGCCAATGAAATGTAGAAAAAGTTAAAAAACAAAATCACGTACATATTTTCCAATGTCATTAAAAAAGAAAATCTCTTTTCAGCTAGGCTTATTTTAAACATGAGAAATATTGTAATTTATATTACTTGGAAATTGGTTACAAATTTTGCAGAAAACAAAAAATTTCTGAATATACAGCAATAACAGATTAAACACTCAAATGTATTTCTTTTTAGCATTTTACACTCTGTGAAAAAAGAGAACGTGAATCATTTAATTGTCCCACAGTTTTGCAACAGGTATACATACATATAGATATATCTGTTTCATGAATATATCTTATGCCAAATTTTGTTTAAAATAAAAACAAAACAACTAACCATTGTGGTTTCTTTATAATGTGTTAAGTTTTAATTACACTGTTTTTGTGTTCCTTCTACACAAAATTATTTCTTTGATCTCTCAGAATTTACTACTTATTAATAATTGATTTCAAATAAACAATAAGGTTGTCAATTAATTTTTACATTAAAAATCTGTTAAGTTGTTCTTGTCAAGGTAAATGGTAATGTATATCTATAAACCAATTACTCTTCTCGGTGTCATAAGAAATATAAGGTTGGTCTACTCTTTTCAATGCCAAATACAGAATTTTAATTATGATGAAAATGATCAAAAATAACAAAATTAAGGTATTGTCATATGGAAGTTAAAAAAAAAAGGCCTTAAGGAAGGGGCTTATAGTCAGCTGATAAAAACTCATGATGATTTATCTAGAATTTTCTTTATAAAGCATGCTAATTTTCTATAAACTAAAAATATTCAAATATATAAAATATTTAGCTAGTGTTTACTTGAAAGGATCAGTAAAAGTATATTTGGACATAGAGGAAGGAATATGTTAATGAAAAGATATTATTTTTGAGAATTTACTGGATTATTGAGACTATTTCCCTACCTGGGGCATGTGGTGAACCCCTTCCAGGAAACTGAAGACCAACAGCACAGTTTGTCAGCTGTAAGGAAAAACCTGCAATGACATTATTTCAGCAATTTCTGGGGCCCTTTAACACCCAAGTTTGACTTTCCCTTAGGTTGTTCCATATCATATACCAAACCTATGCTAAATATATCTTGAGTGTTACTTATGCCTAAATGGTATCACTGAAAATGTTGAACATTTGCAAATGACAGATGGTTTCTCTAGAATAAGGCTAATGTCAGTTACATTCAACGTTACTACTTTATATTATCAAAATGTCTAATAATGTTCACAGAGTATGAATCCATGGTCAAATCTTATATACAAATGCTACACCACATAAATCCAGCCCCAAGTCCAAGCTGTAGGACTTTTTGCTGACACAAAGATCGAACACCAGACATGTGGCAATTTTGGATGAATCATGAATGATTTGGGATCAGGTTGGATGAATATCCACACGTGCTTTCTGTCCAACTAATAGGCAAACACAACACTGATTTTACAATATTCATGAAGCAATTTCTGAAGCTTGGTCTCAGAGTATTATTAGGCTCTCTGATCCAACTGATATCTTCTCATTCATTTTATTTCTTGTCAGAGGGGCTGGGCAGGGTAATCCAACTCCTATCAAGAGGAGGGGCAGTGTACCAGGTACTCCTCACACATTTCAATTTACAAAGTAAGCCAAGGTAAATGATGTTCACTACCAGAGCCAAATTATGGAGTCCTTTCAGTATTTGAATTTCATTTCATTAGTCGACGAGTCAATGGTGAGACGGAATTTAATCCACAGCTGGCCAAGATGGGAAGGGGACAGAAGAGGGAAAAAGCAAGATAACTAGGAAATCTAAAGAAAACGGGAACGGGATGCTGAAGTACATGAGCATTACTTCAAAAACAGGGAAGAAAGTCATTTAGTATCGATGAAAAAAGTGAAAAAAATGTGGGATAAACTTGAAAAACAAAATATTTTCTATGCCAATGAGTCTGTATAATCTAAGTGATACGGAGTTAAATATACCTAAAGAAATTTCTTTCTTAAGGCAAAAGAAAGTGGCCAAAAAAAAGGCAGTGGCAATATTTTGTGTATTTAAAAAAATAATTTTTTACCTTGTAAGTCATATTGTTATTCTCAAAACAGTCACTATTTTAGTGAAAAAAAGAATACAGTTCATGATACAGATAGTTACATGCTTCTACACTTGGCACTCTGTACGGGGATCTAAAGTATGTGATACATGACGGCTTCAGCTAATGCCCCAAACAGACAATTAATTACAAGTCTCACACTACGCGACTCTCTGCTTCTTGGATTTGGATAAAGTCAGCTAAAGTACTACTCTCAGAACAGGGATGTCCAGTAGCAGTCCCACATAAGAGTTGGCTATGAAATGAGTATTAGCCCTATCCTCAAAACCAGAGTTATAAATGAGTTCTACCGCATTTCTCCTTTAAAGATTTGCATCGTTGGTTTGCACTGAAAAGGTAACATTTCACAATCCTGAAGACACCCCAATTTTTGGAACTCTGATTTTGTTCAGACCATGTATTAATGCTTCTCTAAAGTTATTTCAGTTTTTTTTACATAATTGTAGATGTATATATTAAAAATGGGATTTTGCAACTTATTTTCCAGAGGAAGAAGATCGTAATTAAATTATAAGAATGTTAAAAAAGTCATGCTCAAACTGGCTGTTGGTGATAGTTTTGATTTACTGTGTTTCTAGCCAGTGGAATTCCTTTTATAGATTTCATGAAAAATGAAAATGCAGTTAAAATGCGGTAGAAATTAACTTAATATTTTAAACAAACATTCCAGCTAGGTTACTAAGGTAACATTAATTACTTGTTATGTTTGAGCTGATATCAATTTTTAGAATTACTGTAATTTTCGGAAACTCAGCTACATTTTTTTCGGGTATGTTTTACTTGCTTTAAATTTTCAGCTCTGATTTCTACCCTCTCCTCCCCCCTCCCCAAATTTACAGGTGACATATATTTACTAATACTGTTATTCTGTTGTCTCCATCAAAATATATGCAACCTTTTCTTTAATTCTGTTGAATTACTTAAATGGCACAAGTATTTTAAAGTGCATTATTTCACTTTAAGGCTCTATTTATAATAGACACTAACACAAAACAATGAAGCTGACCACAAGAAAAATTACTTTCAATAACTGGGATAGATTTCACCTATAGATATGAAAAGATAAGCACGTAATCCAATGTGAAGACTCACATTAAGGCAAATGTGCAGTTTGCTCCTAAAATTGAAAAATAAAATGGCTTTTGGCATGATTTTTTAAAAGAAATTCATACTAAAAGAAGCATACCAATTACTCTCATTTAGGCCACTAGCTTTTTCTATAATTATAAATTTAACAGGCAGCCTAAAGTCTAATGTTACAAACAACTGCAATGTTTAACAAGGGAGAAGATGGATCAACGTCTTGGCAGATGTACTTGAATTTGACAAAGTTCAGGAAGGAATACCAGTGCTTTGCCCATGCCAGAGTGAGCTTTTCACCTGTCCCGTTCCTGCTCCTCTTTTGCAGTGAAGAGGAGCTAATTAGAGTTATCAGAGGAGTGGAGAAAAACCAGGTTGGGGAGAGTCACCAGGGACTGGACGAGATGACAGGGGTCTGATGGTATTTTAGGGGACCCAGGGGTCATTTGGGTGGTAGGACTGAATGCGAAAGGCTCAGCTGGGGGCTTGGGTGTCAAGAGATGATGGGTGGCACAGGACAGGGAATTTCCAGACAGGCACAGCCAAGCAAGCACAATGAAAGAGAACAGGTTGTGATCAGATTGTGTTTAATAATCTTTGATTGTTTTCCTGTCTGTTCTACCTTTAGGATCAATAGCACCTAGCAGAAGATCAAGGTGGTGGCCACAGGTTGTTGCTTGTACCAAAAGGTTTGACCCCTCTCCTCTTCTTAGCTCCACATAGAGGTCTTAGGGAACTTCTGGGATTCGTTGTAAAAGGAATGTTTCATGTGATTTCAAATTTATGAGCATTCCAACAAACTACCAAACCTTACAAATAGTCAAATTTATTTTTTGTAGGCAATTGTGGTCATTCATAATTTCCAGCATATGCTTCCTATTTTTCACAATGGCATAATTAAGTTCCTTTGTGGTGCAACATGCATGAACATGGATAGTGTTTAAAAAAATGTGACAGACATTATCAGTTTAGCTATTTGCTTTAAATCCCTCAAATTTTAAAATGAGGCAATCCAAATATCAGTGTCCCTTACAGACATCTTGTAGACGTCTCACATTATCTTAGAAACATCTCATTGCATTTTTTTTTTTATTGGAATAAGATGGACTTTCCTTTATACGTTTTGGCCACATATCTATTTGGCTAATCAAGCAAGGGGGGAAATTATCCTGCAAAAGATGCTTTTCTTTAAAAACTCCTACATAAAACTCCTACATGGTCTTTCTTTTTCGCCAAGAAAAGGGTCTCAAATATAGCATCTCTACGATCTCATTCACTGAAAAAGCGTTAAAATTTTATTAAAATATCTTATAAAAAACAAATTTTGAAAGTTATGGAAATGTGTACATAAAGTGATAAAAATATATGTAAAAGATCTTCACTGATGCTTTGTAATAGAGAAGTAAAAACAATCTCGATGTCCATTCAATAGGGACTCATTAAGTAAAGTATAGCCCCATAATGGAATATGTAGTAATTTACAAAAGAATGAGGTAAATCTATTTAAACACTTATGGAAAGGCATCTACTAATGTGTAATAAAATGAAAAATAGTCACAGGACATTAAGATTACTGTTCTATTTGTATAAAACTAATACACACGAACATATACAAACACACTTGTATATTTGCACAAAGTTTCTGGAAGGACATATATCAAAACATTAACAGTGGTTACCCCTAGAAAATAAGGGGTGGGGTGGAGCAGATGAATTTGTATTTTATAATTCTATATGGTTTCATTTTTTTTAAAAGGAGTATATATTACATTTACAATAAAAAAATGACAAGCTTTGGATAGAACGATACTTATTTTATGTGTACGCTTCTTTTTCTAATGTAGCTTTTAGAATTTATCCCAAAAGTTACTACTGTTTAACTTTCATTGTTGGCACTAACATATAAATAATCCTTCTTATTTTCTTCTTTCTTTTTAAGATCTTGATGACACTTAGTAAAAACATTCACAAATTATTACTTTAAGTCACCATCAGGGAAAGGCCTAATATATACCAACTTTGAAAGAGAAAAATGCATACATTAATTTAAGAAATCTATGCAACAGAAAAATGAAAAGCCTGTGCAACACTGTGTACAGTATCTCAAGCATTGATGAAAGAGTCTTCACTGATGAAAGACACCACGTTGTAACTGGAAAATTGGAACGTTTCTAAATAATATAAAAGTATCTCCAAAAGATAAGTTATTCAAAGGAAGGAATAAAAATCCCTGAGTAGATCAAAGACAAGATATGCAATAACCTAAGAAAATAGATTATCTAAGACCAGAGAGTATATTATTTAGCCAGTTGGTATATATGCATGTGGCATTTGTATTTATATGCAGCTATGGAAATATTAGATATGTGTGTATGTATATTTACATATACATATACATACACATCATACATAAGCATATCCACTAGATTTAGAATTCATCGCATTCACATATGGTCGAACTAACACCTAAGTCCAGAAAAAAATGAATTTACAAAAATTAAGCACTCTAATGACAGAATTACATGGATTTAGGATAGAAATTTTCATTCTCTTGTTTTAATACTAGAGCACATAGAATAGGCACTCAAAAATATTTGTCGGCTGGATGGATGAATGGTAAGATGAATTTGTGAAATTAGAGCGTCACTTTTCCTTGCATCGTGTTAGGTTTAGAAACAGGCCATTGTAGGATCATAAATGTCACACCCTCCTCTAACTGAATGTAGAATAGCCTAGAAACTGCAGTATAGCTAGCCTGAGTGTTATTCAGAAAGAATGGAAGTGTGCTAGCTCATTATCCATGCAAGTAACCTTCACTATCATGGACTTCTTAGGTCTGATAAAAATGATAAATGTTTTTCCATTTCGGAGCCCAACAAGACAAACTATCCATGTTAATGCATGTTTTATCACAGAATTTATTACCATTCAGATAAGGCTGCTGACAGATAAATGCTACATCTATGCAGATAGTTAATTTTAAGGATTTGGAGTCAAGTGGAAACTTCAGGCTTCTTAGCGGTCTTTACTTCCGTTGTGCTGATGAACTTCCATGATGAAAACAAAGGAATAACATAGTTTAGTTGCTTGTCCTTTTCTTATTTTTAAAGACGTCTCGGTTTGGTAAAACTTCCTGAAGATATTTCCTTCATTTTTCCAAAAGTTGTTTCTATTTTAGATAAACCCATGAACACAAAAAGCTGTGTTTACAAATTACCCTATCCATAAGAAGATATCAACACGTTTGAGAGTATTTGAGCAGTAAACATAAGAAAAACCCTTCAAAACTCTATTTTTTAAAATGAAAATCTTGGGAACAGATTAAAAAAGATAAAAAAGAAAGCGAGAAAGAGAGAGAAGAGGTAAGAGGTTGGGGTTTCCAATACTATCACAACTTGACCTAAAGCGGAATTATCTATAATTACAAGTTGATTAAAAAATTAGCAGAACAGTGATTTGTTTAAAGGCTTAAGCAGTTCTTGCTACAGCAAATTTGTTTTTTAAATTAACTAATCCTGTCTGAAGGATTTGTTCATTTAGTAAAGCACGTATGCCAAAATATAAAAAATCCGAAAAGACTGAACGTTCTGGTCTTGAGAATTTCCTAAAAGCAGCCTATCAGTTTCGTCACTTAATAAAGTTTGGTGATCCTCGAAGTGACATTGCACAAATTTCTTGTGTGTGTGCATGTGTGTGAAACAGAGAGAGAGAGCAAGGAATAGAAAGGGTCAACATCAAAATAGCCTGTTGTCTACATTGACTTTAATTCAGTCCATTACCAAAATATGCCCAGAAAGGAACGATCATCTTTAAATATGTCTATGAAAATATGGAAAATAGTGTAGAGGCATAGAACTTGATGAGTACAAGGTTATTGGACCTAGTTTTAACACAGATACTTATATACACATACGCTCACACCCCTGCACAGATACACTTCAGTAACTCATGATTCTTCTCATTAATTTTGTTTCACTAGTTCCCTTTTGGGCATTGAGATTTTTAACAATTATAGCATCTGAAGGATGAAGGAATTATACTGCACAGGCCACAGACAAAAACAGGTGCGTATGGTGAGCTTTTGTCTTCTGCAAAGTGGCCTTGCTAGTTTGTACAGGTGGCATGATTTCAGCTATTCACCCCACGTCTCAGAAGAGGGCCTGGAAGGAGGGTTAGGTACAAAGACCATCCAAACAACGCTCAGGAGAGGCATGCTCAGACAATTCTGAGGATAACTGGTTCTTAATGAAAATATTTTCTTCCAAGAACCAGTAAGAAGGTCAGAGTTATGATACAGATATTTATAGTCTATGAAAGTGACCATTTTTTTAAAAGCAGCAAACTGTGTAAGGAAAGGAATCAGGATACCATGGAGAGACTGCACCAGAGCCAGAGGCGTTGTGGCCTGCAGACAACCACAGGGGGACAGGACGGGACGGGATGGGACGGGACGCAGTGTTTAGCGTGCCATTCTGTGTGGCTCCTACCCGCACCAGCTTCGTTCCACGAAACCATCCGCATTTTACCAGTGCATTCCTGTCCGTGATCGCTTTCTCTGTTTTTTACAAAGGCAATAGATAGGAAATACAAATAAACCTGAGGATAAAAAAAAAAGATTAAAGCTAATTAGGAGGAGGGGCATTTAGGTTTATACATTTGAAAAGTTTCCACTTTCCACTTTGCATTTTGCAGTCATTTACAAATGATCGCTACTTGGCAACGCATGCGGATGAAGATGGGGGAGACACCTACCTTATGAAATGTATTTACTTCTGTAAGATTTCATTCCGTGTTAGTTTCTGCAATTCTCTGCCCCTTTGAACAACCTCTGTGGCACCAGTTTGAATATGGAACCATGTTTTCTATCAAAATATCCAATCTTAGATTTGTCTTCTTTATTATCCCTAGTCATATCATTTACACCCTGATAGGACACTTCGGTCTCGGGCAGGACAGCACATCACTAAGGAACACGGGCTGTCGAGCCAAACGCCAGGTTCGAGTCCCAGTTCTACCGCATCTGAGGTCCTAGTAAGCCTGATTTCCTCCACAGTAAAATGCAAATAATAACAGTACCAACTTCCTAAAGTCCTTCCTAACTACTCGTAAGAACAAATGTCAGTTACTTTACAATTCTATCCGTCCCATACATGTAAATAGAACTTTACGTATGGAAATTTATTTTATTTAGAAAAGAAAAAAGAAATCCCATCTACTATGGGGAACAGTCATCAAAGCAATCTTTATCTATAGTGTTTAATTAAAATTCTCTAAAGCAATGGTTCTCCAAGTGTGGTCCCTGGACCGGCATCATCAGCATCACCTGGGAACATCTCAGAACTAGAAATCCATGGGCCCTACCCCTACATGGGATCAGAAACTGAGGGTAGAAACCAGCCGCCTGTGTTTTAACCAGTCCTCAAGGTTATCCTACAGCATGCTAGAGTGTGAGAACCAGTGCTTTAAAATACCTATTTCACTATACTTGTATGAATGAAACTATACAAATCACTCATACATTTTCTGTTTGTCAGTGCTGAAGTATGTGTTGGGTATATGTTCACACTGAAAGTATCTTTTTTACTCAGGGTCCACTTTTACTAGAACAAACCAATTATACAAGGGTATACCAGACCTTTTTCCTTTACGTTCCAACCTAAACTCAGAATTGGAAAATTTGAGTTCTAGTCCTTTGGACTCTTTCATTAAAATACTAGTTGTATTAACTTTGGTATTAAAAGGGAATTAATAATGTTTTATAAGATACATGAATCAAAGTCTTCATAGACTGCAAAAGTGTCACACAAATACATCCTATATGAAACACACTCCTCTGAATCTATACATCATATGCTGTTTGCTTACCTAAAGCAAGCATGGAACTGATATGTCCACTTAGTAACTGACTCATATTATTACATTTACACTCATATTCTCCTATGGCACTCAGAAAATTCTAATCTCAGATATGTTAAGTGTTTCTTACCGATTACAACTGCTATGGCCCCTAGTGCTAATCCCAAGACCAGGATTAGAGGTGCAACGAATAATTTTCCAGCTAGAAAACAAAAGGCAAAACCATTTAGAGTCTTAAAACTAATTTATCAAACAATTTCAGCAATGCTTCTTAATACCGCAGTGTATATTGTTTTTTAAGAAGTCTGGTTATAATTAAGGCAATATTTCTCTTAGGAAATGGATCAGGTGTAGAACAAATATACTTATGTAAATTCAGTAACTCCGCAGAAGTCCTGGGCACATTAGTCAAACGTCTCATAAATCATTTAAACTTCATAACCAAAAAAATTCCAAAGTTACAGGTCACTTTATTCTGTCAGGACCATTCATCTTTGTGCTTTTCCTTTAAATATCTTTCATTTTTCAAGATTCTGAAAGATTAACAAAGGAGTGACACATTCAGAGTTGGCAGGAGAAAATCTAATTAGCTCACAAAATGGAAAGCTAGTAGGTGCTACAGAGGATTACATCCAAGCCCACATCTGAAAAACTGATTTACTTACTTCCTGGGTCCAAAGAAAATTAATAATATGAACACTTGGCAGACTGAACTACAATTGGGATGCTTAAATATTGTTAGAGGGGTGCCTGGGTGGTTCAGTCTGTTAAGCATCTGACTCTTGGTTTCAGCTCAGGTCATGATCTCAGGGTCCTGGGATCGATCCCTGCATCCCACTCTGCACTCAGTGGGGAATCTGCTTGAGGATTCTCTCTCTCTCCTCCCCCACCCCAATTCATGCTCTCTCTCTCAAATAAATAAATAGTATCTTTAAAAATAGAAATAAATTAATAAATATTGTTAGAGAAAATTACCAATTACCAATAAACATACAGTACATTTAAGGTTATTCAAATGAATCACTTTAATAAATTCAGAGAAAAAAACTGATGTTGCCAGAGGGGAGGGGGGGTGGTAAGGGCAAAATGGGCAAAGGGGAGAGGGCAATATGGGTTTCCAGTTATGGGATGAATTAAGTCACAGGGATAAAAGGCACAGTATAGGGCATATTGCAATAGCAGTGTATGGGGACAGATGGCAGCTACACTGTGGTGAGCACAGCGTAAGGTACAGAGAAACTGAATCACTGTGTAGTACACCTCAAACTAAGGTAACATTGTGTGTCAACTAGAGTTAAAAAAAACAAAACAAAACGCAAATTGGAAGGTCTGCATTGGTCTCATGGAAAAAATAAAATAAAATGTGAGAAAAATAAAAGGAAGCACTTATAAGAAAGCTAAGTGCTGGTCAGGTTGCCAAAGGATGGCATCAACTAGCACTTTTTTCCTAAATAAATAGCTGAGCAGCGATTATAGTAAGTGCTAGTTTCATGTAAACAGGGCACGGAGTTCACAGTCAGAATTCCACTCACTTTGAAAGGCACTAGCAGACACAGAAAGAGGGTGGTAGTTAAAACCTTGTTGTGATACAGTAACCTGGACCTTAAGGCATGTGACACGGCTGCACAATTCAAACACAAAAAGAGGTGAGAATGAATGGAGGGGCTTTGCCATTTAAGGATAAACCAGCGACACTACTTTACAAATTAAGGGCAGTAATTTGGAATAAGCAATTACATAAAAAACCCAGAAATATAATCTGCCATTTGTTGGAAGTTTGTCAGAAAAATATTAACTTTTTTATGTTTAAGGAATGGTTTTTGGAACCATGACTAGACAGATAGAAAATACAGCTTTTAATATCTAATTTAAAAAGAAGACTATTTAACGGACCTGTGTCTAACCATGGGTTTTGTTTATATTTTTTGCCAATGACAGAATCCAATTTAAGCAGTATGAAATCTTACTGAACAATGACATTTTCTACATTCTTAAATAAAATTGGCCTGCATATTTTATTTTTATTTTTAAAAAAATATTTATTTATTTTGGAGAGAGCGAGAGAGTGAGCAGGGGGGAGGGCAGTTATTTATTTTGGAGAGAGAGAGAGAGCGAGCAGGGGGGAGGGCAGAGAGAGAGGGAGACAAGCAGACTCCCTGCTGAGTGGGGAGCCCACCTCGGGGCTCCATCCCAGGACCCTGAGATCAGGACCTGAGCCAAAACCAAGAGCTGGACACTAACCCGACTGAGCCACCCAGGTGCCCCTGGCCAGCATATTTTAAAAGAATCTGTTCTTTCCTGTACCCTTGGTTCAGTATATTCATTCATGTTTTCTTTTTAAATAATTAATATATTTTCATAATAACAATGAAACATGATTGCAAAGTAATAGCACTGATTTTTTTCCCCAAAATATCACAGAACTTGAAGAACCAATGTGCTCTTTCTTTGGGAAGTAATAAACTTATATCGATCATACAATCAATGTTTAATACATGTTTAATTTTACTTTTGAAACTGTTTTGAGGAATTAAGCACACCTCTCATAATCATCCTCACATAATCTCACATCCTCACATAATCTAATCCTAGATTATTAACAATTCATTTAAAATACTATTCTCAGTAGCTGAAATAATATTCTATTATGCCCATATATATATATTATTTAAATATTTAAATAATTTAAATATTTAAATATTCATGTGCTTACTTTTTTGTTCCTTTTTTTTTGCTATTTTAAAATATACCTGCAAATAAACCACTGTCAGCTTAGATTTGTCATATTTTAAAATGTCCTTCACTTTACTATCCAATTTCTTTGCAAAAGAATTGCACAAAACTTCTAATTCGTTCAGTAGTGTATGAAAGTCCAGCATTGAGTATTAACAAGAAAAACTGCTAATCAATAATTTTAAAAAATCTTTTTTTTAACTTACACTTCTTTGCCTACTAAGAGCACTGAACATTTAAAAAAAATGTTTATTGGCTACTTGTATCTCCTCAATTCTGGTTCCAGACTTCATCTTTTTAAAAAAATTGGATATTTATTTTTGGAGGAGGCTCTATTGCTTTTGTTCATATAAATTATCTGCCACCTAGAAATCAGTTAAAGACCTATATTTTCTTTACTATTATACACTTTAACTTAATACTTTGAGCATTTGTATATAATGATATGAGAACTCAGTACTTTTTCTCAGTCCCTTTTATTCCCAATGCCATTCATTGAATAATCTGCCTACTCCCACCAGAGAGACAACCCCATGTCAGAGGCTGCTAAACTCATCCTCAAATCTCTGTTCTCCCTTATTCTTTAGGAGCAGAACCTCTGATCCATAGCTGGGCACATGGTCACATGGAATGCAACCATGTTTCCCATCCTCCAGCTGTGAGAGCAGAGCAGGCCCTTTCTCTGCCTCTTCCAAGGACGTCTGGAGGCTGCAACCCCAAATGGAGGGAGCAAACTGGATTACATCACACAAAGACAAAGGCTGGGAGGGCTCTGCTATCATCCACCTTCTCTCTTATATGGCAGGGAGAAGCTAGGTTTGTGACTTACAGAGTCATTCCTTTTCCAAGCTTTTGGGTGGCTGGGAGAGGTATGGGCCACCCTATTTGGAGCTAGGATCCAACAGAAGTTAGAAGCAGCTGTACTGGAGGCGGGAAAGCAGGTGTGGGAGCGAGAGCTTTTCTGAAAGTCAGATGCCCCCTACTTTGTCAGGTTTGTCCGGACACACATGGGCGTGCACACACAGTAGAAAATAGGCCCCAAACAAAACCATTTACAGAAAATTGACCATAAAATAAAATTTTAAATAAAAACAGAAAAGACTGTGCAGAAAAGACATTTCTCTGCTGACAATGTTCACTGGCTGTGCATTTTACAGGCTGTTAAATAACTCAATTCTATCTTATGACCCGAGAAGAGGATTCTAGTGGCCTCTAGGCAAATGAGAGGACCCAAAGAGAATGCATCTAAAATACTACTGGACAAATAGGGCAAGAGATAACTTCCCTTATTTAAGAATGATTAAAGCAAATAACAGAAAACAAAAATAAAAGATTATTAAAATAAAAAATGGAAGGAAATACCTTGCCACAAAATGTCACTGAAGTAGGAAAAAAAACCTAGTAATACAGAAAATATAAGAATTTTGTATTTTTTGGTGGCTCTCTGTATATACAGATTTACAAATAGGTTACAGCTCAAAACTTAATTTGCAATTTAGTATCTTCATGGTAGTAATGTTGTCAATAGGGGTTAGATTCCCTAGCTATCCCTCCAAAGTCTATTTAACTAATAGGTAAATATTGGGTATACAATTATAATACATACAAGCAAATAAACAACAAATACATATATTACAAGCAAGTAAAGAGGAAAACACTGAAAATCATTAAAACCAATCTTGACCATATTGCACGCTATTGGTTGTGAACAATTACATTTAATTAAAGCTCAATAAGGATATTTCATAGAGATCATACAAGATTTTAGAAAACGACGGCACTGGTTTCCATGTTAAAATGAATTTTAAAATATATGTTCTAGTTTTACCTAATAGAAATGTGCCATTAGCACCAGCTTTGTTCTGATTAGCCATGGTATGATTCTAGTAAGGTGAGGGGTTTACAATAGTAATGAAGTGATGGAGGCTTAAGGCGAGATAAAAAGAGATTTTCATGAGGTAACTAGGCAAAAGTCGGTAGCAAAGGGGAAATGTGGAAGACGTTAAAAACTATTGTACATCCATGAGAAAGACTCTCAGAGAAGGAAATATTGGAGTTTTGTGTAATGAAAAAGAGAGGAAGAAACCTCACAGTGGACACATTCCAGAGAAGTAGGGAGCCATTGGAAGAAGCAGTATGAGGTCAGAAGAACACTGTATCACACAAAGGTGGTGGCCTCAGGCCAGAGGAGGAATCTGGGTTTATGTTTGTGTATGTGTATATGAGATCGTGTGTTGCTGAGGACAAAGAAGAGGGTAAAAACTCAATCCAAAAAGGCATTTCATTTGGATACTTAAACTTGGGTTTGTAGGCAATGAGGGCATTTGATACTCATTTCATTAACTGTTAGCTATTAATATTAATAACACAATAGAAAATACATACAATGGCCTCAACTCTACAGATACAATAAGACTCCAGTACAGGGATATTTATTTATTTTATTTTTAAATTTTTATTTATTTATTTATTTATTTATTTATTTATTTATTTTGGTGGGGGGCGGGAGAGAGAGACTGCATGTGCTGGAGAGCAGGGAGGGGGGAACAGAGGGAGAGGGAGAGAGAGAGTCCTAAGCAGGCTCCATGCTCAACACTCAGTGAAAGCCTGAGGCAGGGCTCGATCTCACCACCCTGAGCCAAAATTAAGAGCCTGAGGCTTAACTGACTGAGCCACCCTGGGGCTCCATAAGGATTCTCAAAAACTGTATCACACGTACTCTAGGAATGAATAGAGTATATGTGTATGACCTGTTGCTGGCACTGTCAATAGAAAAATAAATGTGACGTCCCTCTCATCAAGTGGCTTAAATAAGGTTTCAGAAATTTAAAAGATGAATTTACATTTCTGCAGTATAATAAATAACTTGTTTTTTTTTTTTTTTAAATCTGCTTGCTCATATAAGTTGTGTCCTGCTAACAAATTTAAATTTCCATTCTAAACTCAAAAGTAAAGAAAATATCTTCCTCCTGTTTTTGGGTAAAGTCCCCACTGGAATACCTGACAGGTGCTCAGAATTATCATGGCTAATACATTTGAGTTCTCTTATTACCGCTTACTTCCCAGAAAACATCCCTATAAATGATGTCGGATACTCACCACAGACCGACCCTCGCACTAATCTCCTTAGATGAGGTCTCTCTGGGAGGTAGCGATATTTGCAGCCAAATATACTGAGGTTTGATGTGTGGTCTCCAAAGAAACGGAGCTGGCGGTATCTTTCCCCACATCGATAACAAAAATTAGTGTTACATTGTGAGCAGGTCATATGGTCACATCCTTCAGTTCTCTGGATGTGGATCTGTATCAGTGACAGAGGAAAAGACAAGGAAAAGTTATTATAATTTTTTAAAACGTGAAATCTGGCAAGTGTTATCGAACAAACAAGTTTCACCAAAACAAAAGTCTTACATAGCATTCTTGTGGCTGCCAGTTTACTTATAATCACACTGTGCAAGATTGTGTTTGTATCAAATACTTTAACATGTGTAAAGCTCCATAACATTGCAGGTACTCAAGCTGTTGGCTTATTTTGACCAACATGTAAACAGACACATCCCAAAGAAAACTCACTTATCTCTCTAGACATACACCTAACTCAGTGGTTAGGAGGCAATTTAAAATGCTGTGAAAGTATATTTTGTTTATGCCATGATCAGCAAGAACGAGGTGATTTGAGGAATGAGAAGAGATGAAGAATATTCCTTAAAGGAAAGGATTATGCAAAGCTCTGTGTGCATAAATAAGAAGGCACAGAAATCTTTCTTTAAAAAAAAAAAAGATTTTACTTTTAAGTAAACTGTACACCCAACATGGGGGCTCAAACTCACAACCGTTAGATCAAGAGTCACATGCTCTATGGACTGAACCAACCAGGCACCTTGAGTAGGAGTCTTTCTTTGAGGAAGGAAATGATAGTAACTCTAAGTGTATTCACAGTACCATTTCAGTTTCCAACTCTAATGTCATTTGCAAGTATGTTTCCAGGACTGTTTATATAACCCCTTCTGTTAAACTCAGCGCCTTCCTCTATTGTTGCAGTCAAGTTACATGTAAATACAGCTTTGCCCAGAATGTAACAAGGATTGTACTCCGATAGTCTACCAGGTACCCAGCATAGGGGTCACTGTCTCAAGCACTGAGGCCATATTACAATAAAGATATTATTCCTTGAGATATAATTGGATACTTGGCTCAGAATCCTATGGACACTCTATATAAATTGGGGCCATCTTTCAATCAAGTACATGCACCCTTTGTTAGGTGAATAACCATGAAAGAGAACTTAACATTACTTCATAAAAAAAGAAAAAGATTTGGTTACACTGTCTAACCCTTATGTGGTTAAAACAGGATCACCAGAAATAGTCTTCCCATTTCACTACAGAGTAGGCATTTGTTATATTCAAGTCACATCCCACTCATTCTTGTTTATTTATATATTTATATTTATATATTAGTTCTTTGCTTAGAAAATTTATTTAAAATATCCCTAATACCATTCTGACTATTATAAACTTCTACCCCTGACTTTGCTTTGAGATGAGTGTGTCAGAAAGTGTTTTAATGTAATTGGGAACTTCACAATTAACATGTAAGTCACACCCACCACTGGTTGCCTCTTTTCAATGAAGCCGTGGCTGCAGTCCACAACTTTACACAGTTTTTAAAAAGTAAATTCTATACCCAGCATGGGGCTTAAACTCATGACCCCGAGATCAAGAGTTACATGCTCTACCACCTGAGCCAGCCAGGTGCCCCAACTTTACACATTTCATTTGAAATCCTACTCTCCTTCCCCTGATACACAAGGTAGTTCCCTGAACTTCTGCAGTAAGTACAGTTATATGTTTATATTTTTCAAAAACTTCTCAATGATTATGGAAATGAGATCAAATCATCCAGGAAAGAGAGAAGATATATAATGTGAAAAGAGAAATTTCAAAGTTAGGAGATAAAGAAAGTTATCCATTACAAAATATAACCTTATTTCATAGTTTTTGAAAATAAAAATTTTGAAATTGCTGACTTCAAATCATATGCAGTATTTCAGCTTTAGTGATTCAATAACCAAAATTCTGAACTTCAATTTAAAAGAACATGAATTTTTAGAAGGACTTCTGAGGGTGCTTTTAAAATAACAATACATAGTAATCATAGTAATGGTGAACATTTCATTTGATAATACACATATTTGTGAATCCATCCTCTACCCATCTATCCATCCATCTACCTACCTACCTACCATCCATCTATTCACCTACCTATGTACCTACCTACCATCCATCCACCCATCTGCCTATCTACCTATTACCTACTATCTCCATTCATCTACCTGTTTACCTACCCACCATCCATCCATCCATCCATCCACCTACTTACCTACCTACCATCTATCCATCCACCTACCTACCTATCTACCTATCGGAGAGCTTCTAGGCAAGGATAACAATTTTGAAGAAGTAATAACTAGAAGGGCAGCACATTACAGGCAGCACAATGACTGGACATAACAGGCATTTACTAAATGATAACTGAATGTACTAAGAAAGCAAAGTGTACTAAGTGGTTGGCAGGACATTCGGTATTGAAAATCATTAGGCTGATTATAGGTTAAATGTCCATTCCATCCCAGTGGCTGATTCTTGGCAGGTAAGCTTTAGCTCCTAGGCAGGTTGAAAAAATCTGGGCTTTGACCTCATGAAGCCCTGTGTTTGAATTCTGGCTCCACAAGCTGTATAAAAAAGAGGTTACTTCTTGCTTCAATTTAGATAATATTACTTACATGAGAATAAAAATGTGATTATATATATATATATACACACAGTGCCTAACCTATTGTTTGGCACATACTGAGTCAGATCAATATAATATTGATTCCATCTATCCCTTCCCCTTTACCCACCCAAAAATGTGAGAAATCAAATGCCTGATCAATGTAACTGCACACCCTCTGATTGCTGGGTGGTCCCCATTCTTATGTTTTCATATGGGTAATTTTTAGGTTGATGCTAAATTGGAGAGTACCTTCCTAGATAGGCAAGGATAGTTTGTAGTCAGGTGCATACTAGCATCTCTGGTCCAGGGTTATTGAAAAATCCTTATTGGTCAATAGAAGCGAAACTTGCTTTCCCTGCTATTGGCCACTTCATCTTTTTAAATTATATTATTTTTTTTCTTTTACCTGACAGTCCAGTAAGAGTGAATCCAGATTTTGTGGGACCTGAAGATTATCTAATTTGAGGGACCCTCCTAAAGGAGAAGAATGTAAATTACAAATACAGTTGACCCTTGAACAACATGAGGATTCGGGGCACTGACCCCCTTGCAGTAAAAACTCTGCCTATAACTTTTGACTCCCCCAAAATTTACTAATAGCCTACTGTTGATCAAAAGCCTTACCAATAACATAGTCGATTAACACTTATTTTGTGTATTTTATGTATTATATGCTGTATTCTTACAATATAGTAAGTTAGTGAAAAGAAAATGTTATTCAGAAAATCATAAGGAATGGGGCACCTGGGTGGCTCAGTCGGTTAAGCATCTGCCTTCAGCTCAGGTCATGATCTGCCAGGGTCCTGGGATTGAGCCCCATGTCGGGCTCCCTGCTCAGCGGGGAGTCTGCTTCTCTCTCTCCTCCCCGCTTGTGCTCTCTCTCGCTATCTCTGTCAGTATCTGTCTCTCTCTCTCAAATAAATAAATAAAATCTTTAAAAAATAAAAAAAAGAAAATCATAAGAAAGAGAAAATATATTTATGGTGAATCTGCACCGTTCAAACCTATATTGTTCAAGAGCCAACTGCACAAGTTAGATACAAGGCTTAAGAAGGGACTTTTACAGGTGAGGGTCTCCAAGGCTTAAGCTCTTTAGCTTCCTGATAATTTCTTGCCTAGTCCAGCACTTCCCCTCTTGTGCCTGTTTCTGTGAACGATTCTGAAGAACGATTCCTGTCACCACAACCATTTCATAGTCATGGCCTTCAGGAATAATAGAGGCCAAAGGTTCTAGTGGACCCTTGAACTATTTCTGATCCTTCTTTAAACCCCTGAGCACTAGGAGAAACCATGTTCAAAGACAACTGCTGAGCACCCAAAATAAAGGTTACTTCATTGTCTACTCAACTTAACCAATTTCTTGGTCACATAGCATAGTGTTGTATGTGACCGATAAAGGGAAAAGGACTAATATTTGTTTAGGGCCCATTATGTGCCAAGCACTGTACATAGATTAGAACCTTTAAGCCTCATAACTGCACCATGAGACTGGCATTCTTATTCATAACCTGAGCTCAGAAAAGTAATCTGCTTGAGTGAATGCAGAAAGGATTTTGATTCATGTCTGTTTCTTTGTTATGCTAAGCAGCCTCTTATTATAAACTTAAAGATAAAAACAGAGGGTCAATAGTATCCTTTGCTAACTGACAGAACAATCTTTGTGCTAGTCAAACAAACCTGTGTGCTCTTACACACAAGGTGTATCTTGAGTCTTTCTGCTTGCTTTAGCTGCTCTCTGGACCAATTTACGTTCTTCCTGTAACACAATATCCAAACTTTTCTGACAGGAGACGTTTATTAATAAGTTAAGCTTGTCACTGACGTTCACTTGGCTCAAAATTTCACATACAATTGTCACTGCCATTTTATATCTGCTTGTAACATTGCTTCATTGGTTTCTAAAATCTTTATGTGGCATATTTATTATTTCATTCAAATAGTAAAGACTATAATTTCTAGTCTCTTTGAACAGTCTTCCCTTTTCTCTCTCCCTTTTTAAAGATTATATTGTTAAGTAATCTCTACACCCAACATTAGACTCAAATTTACAACCCCAAGATCAAGACCAGGCACCCCTTTCCTTATTGCTAAAATAATATTCTGAACAGAGCAGGCAACTAAAATATTGTTAGTTCAATAATCTTTCTGCACAGGGAGTGATAAAATTTTAAACTCTATAGTAACCTTGCACATTGCAGGATTATATGGTTCTAAAGATTAATTTGAATATCTTACACAAGACAGGCAATGATTTAATTATGAAAAAGTGGTTTCATAATTTATCAGCCTTCAAGTACACAGTGCTTCCTTTAATACTGTTGTAACTGTCTCTTGATTATATATATTTCACAATTTGATAATTACAGAGAAATGAACTGACACAATGTGAGTTAATATGCAACAGGAGACATTACCTTTCACATGTTGTAAGCAAGTTGTAATTCTGAACTCCTAACACCCAGGGGATGACAAATTTCATGTGCTACATGAGTGCCCTAAGTATATTGTTAAAGGTCACCCTTT